AATAAACACATATTACTTTAAAGGCACAATGGTGAATTATATAATATCCCATTCCATCAACAAGTAAACAAACTACTACTTCTCTATCTTAGCACACACCGGTTGTAAACTCAGGCAGAAAGTTCTGGTTGTTCACCCACTTCTGGACTTTAGACTTGTTTCAGAACTCGAATTTGGCATGCACATTCATTTTACAGACCTACATTTTTTGTAAGCAGACTGTTGGTTCCTTGCCTCCCAGGCAAATGTGCTCCGTCTTCAGAGGAAACATTCCTAATTGGTTGCCTTTAGGACATATTTGATAGGGAGGCAATGGGTACATTCTTTTTCCCCACAATGTGACTTCTGAATCCCCATGGGGAAATTATAAAATTATAACATTATATTCCATCAACAAGTAAAGTGAATAATATATTTAAATATATTCATACACATAATAGCATGCAAACATGAACATACATTCATCAGAAACAGAAACAATTGGATGGTGAGATTAAGGTTAGAGGTACATTTCAGTCCTTTACTGTACCAGAGAAGTAATTTTAAATGTTAGGTTTTTGCGTATGCCAAGGACATACTGTATCATGAGCTGGTATGAACACCTTGTTAACAGTATTCGTCTTGTCCAGAACCATATAAATCTGGTATATTCTTTATTAGGCTGAACCAATCCAATCACAAAGCTGATCTTGTCATTAAAAAAATCTAATTCTTTTCTACCTGAGGAATTAGCAGTAAACCGATGACTAGATGAATTAAATGGTATGATTTTTTTTTTTTTTTTTACGTATCCAGAAACCATGAGTTGTAAACCCTTTGGCTCGGTACTATGGATATCGCAACCCTTCGGCCTTGATTCCATTATAGGTACCGTTAATCTGGGAGAAATGTGGCTTTTCTGCCTACCCCCGGGAGTGAACCCGGACCACAAGGAGTTCGTCACCCGGCCGCCGCGAACGTCAGGTTTAACCAACTTCGCTAGAGAGCCGGGCAATGGTATGATAAGATCACTATTGTTGAGTTTCGGGAGAAAACTAAACTAATTCCAGTGAATCAACAGATGAGGAGACATACTACTGTTGGAAAGGACAGACACTGAGAAAACCTGGGAACAAGATAACTAGAAGGGCTTCACAATGGAACCCACAATGGTAAAGAAATAAAGATAGACCAAAAACACATGGAGAAGGGAGCTAGAGAGTGAAGTCAATAAGACATGGGGGTGAGCTACATGGAATAGCAAAGGATAGGATAACCTGGCATGAGTTGGTTGAGGGCCTATGCTCCATTGGGGGATAAATGACGAAAGAAGTGACTAGATGCTTACATGTCAGCCAGAATATCCTAGGTTTTAAATCCTCATCAGGCAAACAATTCTAATATATAATCTGGGCCCTCAGGTAGACCCAGCCTAAAATGGGTACAAGGAAAATGACCTGAGAAGACAAGGTAGACTGCATGATCTTGATAGCATCCCCATCAAGTTCAATTTGGTCTATAAGAAATATGGGTCCAACAGTGAATGCCAGATGTGACAATGGACTGAAAAGGGCCCTTTACTTTTACTGTTGAGGACTCAACCACCGGACCAGGTACCGATAAGCTAGTAAACTTACCATTAGACTTTCAAAACAATATCCACAAATGGCTGAGGAAAATTATAAAAATAAAAAGGAATTCGAGAGAACTGAAGAAAAAAGAGAAACGTTCTGGGCAACTTCTAGTATCAATAGTTATAAGACAGAGAAGATGGCCTTACATTGGACACATTCTGAGAAGAGATGATAAGAGTCAGCAAACAGGCACTGGAATCGGAAATAGATGGATTTAGAAGACAAGGACGACCAAGCAAAATCCTATGGCGAATGCTGATGAGAGGGGCCAAAGGTGCTGGTCTGGATCCCATTCAAAATACTGAAGTGATTGCACCAGACAGAACAGAATGAGGATTAGACTGAGAGCCTTATGTGACATACAATGGCACAACAGGACAATGATGATGATGATGATCAATGGCCACAGTCATCCTAGAGATAGGATAAATGTCTTCCCTCAAAGTCGGAGTACATCTGCCCGAGAGGCATGGAACAATAACTGCACACAAATAAGTCAGTAAAACAGTGGTACAGGCAAAACTCAGGTCCTGGTACAAAGCCAAAAGTTCAAAAGGACAAACAAACAGGACTTTTCACCGGAATTCACAGCTGGTGAACATAAAGAAGAAGAAGATATCATCATAACAATACATAGCACATTTGACAAATATCATAGTAAAAATGTTTACACAAACTGAACACTCAGCATTTGTTGTGAATGAGTATAACAATTTCTTATATACAAAATATGTGAATATGAACTATGATCCATACACATAAAATTATTCTCCTTATTCACCAAATCATTCCTTTCATACCATGAGCTGTGAATACCTAAAATTGTTTTCATCATCATCATCATCAAGTAAGAGCCGTGCCAGATCTCCACAGATCTTGGTCTTTGGTGTTCTGGATCAATTCCACTGATGATATTCCTCCATGTCACTGTCTTAGGCCATCCACCATCATTTCTCTTGGTCTGCCTCTGTTTCTTCTATCAGTGATCTTTCCAGTTGTCATGATATTTTCCAGTGCTTCTTTTCTCATCACATGAACAAAGAACTTTATTTGTTCCGTTTTCATTGTTGTATATAGTATTCTACTTTCATTAGCCATTTCCAGACAACTATAGTTAGTTATTCTGGCAGTCCAAGGTGAAATTGTTAGACAGCTGTTTAACTGTGTGTGTGTTGGTATTTTTAGTGACTGTCTTGTGCATTTAGTGCTTGTTCATGTTTCTTGAATTTTCCAAGATGAAATGTTTGTTCACTAGTTTAAAATGGAAAAGTGAGGGGCACTGTTGGTGTTTTTCCCTGGCACAGGAAACAGAGCAGTTATCGTATGATCTGTGAGTAGCGTTGAAACCGCAAATACTCATCATTATCAAGTTATCTCTGCCACATATGGTCATGGTGCAATAAAGCAAACTCCAAAGCATGTACTTGCTGTTCCTCTTCTTCTTCGCTTTCACCGGCTGCAAACTCTGGCGAAAGGTTCTGGGTATTCGTCCACCTCGGGACATTAGTCTTGTTCCAGAACCTGATTGTTGCATGCACATCCATTTTACAGATCTGATTTATTTGTTTGCAGGCTGTTGGTTTCTTGCCTCACAGGCAGATGCTGAATGAAGCTCCCAATTAGTTGACTCTTATGACACACTTTATTTTTTTTGGGTAGGCAGTGAGTCTCTTCTTGTCCTCTTCACAATGGGGCTCCAGAACCCATACAGGGAGTACTCCTTAAAGAGTCTGTACACTGCTGCGTCAATCCATGCTACATTGTTACATATAGCAGTCTTTCTTTGAGCTTGCAGATTAATTGCCTCACTGAATACTGCAAAGATGTACAGCTTTTTCCTACTAATGAGGAAAAGTATGTTCAGAATGCACTGAACTTAGATGCTCTAGTAGCTAGTCAAAGTGCACTTTCAAAGCCATGGAGTCCCAAATGTAACTGAAGATAAAGGACCTTTTTCATAACTCCTGCATTTGATGCTAGTCCTAATCTTAGTCTTAGTCCAAGTTTTAACTTCGCTACAATCGGGTCACCCCATACTTGCTCCACTCTTGTGCCAGTGAAAATCAAATTAAATGTCCCTCACTGTCTCATTTGAAAAACTGGTGAACAAGCAACTAGTCCCTGAACAATCCAGAAATATGTGCATGCAGTAAATGCATAGGGCAGTTGTTAGAAGCGCCAAAGCCAACAGTCGCTACAAGAAATGCAGTTTGTCGATGGAAGTAATCGAGCACAATAAGATGGCTATACACATGTACAATTATTATATATAGTATTTTATTTCACCAGCCTACATGTAAACCGACTACCAACCATACTGAATACCGTGACACAACTGCTGCACAAAAGAAAGGCATCCTACATGCAAAAACACAGCTCACAGGGCTGCACCAAGCGCTAAACTTAGTAGCTCAGCCAACGAATCCGTAAACTACCATCCATACGTGGAAAGTGCATTGGCAAAGCATTGTCGGAAGCAAAAATAACTTTGAAGCCTTAACAATATGTCATGCCTAGTTCTCCATTTTAGACTGGGAGTCTAATTTTTTTCCTAGCAATACCCCATGATATTCTATAGCTTCACTACAGTGAAAAGAGCCCACCATACATACATACCTCGAGCATAACATTTTTTTAACGGCTCAAACAGAGCAAATGACCTGTCTTGTGTGAACTGAAAGAAGTAAGTCTGAATCATAAGAGATAAAATGCCTTAGAAGAGCTGCAGGAGTTTCGAGGAAAGACAGAATACAAAGTCACGAAATCAAAGAACAACAAATGAAGTGGTTTGGCCACCTAACAAGAACGCCCTGGTACTATCTGCCACAGCGAGCCACACTAAAACGTTACAACAGGTATAGAGCGAGTGCAAGACCTTGGAAAATATGGAGTGATAGCATTAAGAACAGCCTTACAGAAATGAACTTCAGTCTTAATAGTGCTCTTGACAGCTTATCAACCAATGTTACATCTCCCCCAGACTCTTCGCTGAGGTACAAGGTGGAAGAGAAGAAGAAGAAAAATAAGTAAATCTACACACTTCCTTAATGAGAACTGAACCCACAATCTCAATAGTGTTTCACCAACACATGACCAGAATTTGTACACACCCATAAAATATCCTGTTCACCCTTACAAAAATTAAAACATCAATACTGCAGATTTAACTCGTTGAACCCCAAGGAATACATCAGATGTTCACAGGTTTTCCTATCTAGAAGCCCAATTAAGACATAATGTGCTGATTTTAGTTTCTCTTTGCTATCCTTGGGCCTGTGATGTTAAACTCCTTGGGACTCAAAGAATTGAAAGTCTCACAATTTTACTCTTAAATGCCATTTCTGTATAAGATTGATGACCACAAACTCCACATTTAATGCAATACAATCACATCCGGAAGACGCCAAATCTGGTCCTCTCTGGAGGCTTGTTCAGGGCTGCACTCAAGGACAGGCCAAGGACGGAGCGGGTATCCACAGGGTCAATGACACCATCATCCCACAGTCTACAAAAAGAAAAGGAAAAACAGTTAGTAAACTAAAGTAAAAGAGTAAAGAAAACCAGCTTTTCATACCTTCAGGCATATTGGGCAGATGATTCGTTAGTTGCTTGTCATTAAAAGGATGTTGCAGAACCAACCCTAGCATTTTTGGGTGGTTGTGGTTTTTTCCAAGGCCAGTTTTCATTCAGCAGTTTGCCACTACTTTCCTAATGGCTGTTCTCAGTACCACTATCAAAACCAATACAAGGCGGGCTTGGCCAAACTGCCTGCAGTTGGGATCACGCCTAAGCTACAAACCAACTATGGTGCTACACCAATATTTTAGACATTAATTGGCACTCAGTGGGTGATGTGGTCAACATGATTCTGGCCACCTTTACTTCCCATAACCTTTACTGGTACCCATTTAAGGATGGGTCAACCTGGGAGCCAAGGTCGTTTCTAAAGAGGGGAAAAAGTCCGGAAGGCAGTGCGTAAAGAATTTTTTAAAAATATATACAAGTTGGGCATTAGGCATTTGATGTTACGCTCATATCTGTATTAGACTAATGAGTACTCCGTGGATGATGTGTTCAAAAACATGCCAGCCACCTTTACTTCCCAGGCTCTATCTGACACAATTTAGGCTGGATCAACATGGAAGCCAAGGTCAGTTTTGATAACAGTTCGACAAGATGAAGATTCGCATCTACACACAAATATACAAAACAAAAAAGTACAAAGCTTTTATGTATTCTAACTGTATGACCAGAAATACCAGTAATATTTCTTAAATTCTTAACGAAAACATTATCAGTCAATTATTTGATTCACTCGGTAAAATATAACTGCTGGCTATTGGTTTTTGAAGCCTGCAACTGTGATTTCTTTAGCTGCAATTACCTACTGAAGCACAGACTGTGGCAGGGTAACATCTTATTGAACTAGGGTGCTGCCCAGCGTGAAGTCGGTGGTAGATGATCAGTTCTCTCTTCTTTTGTTTGCTTGAAATAGATTATCTATATCTGCAGTGCTGTCTCTAGTATGATCTTCACTGTCTTTTATAATTCACTCTTGACCCGTAAAGTTTGGCTTGCACCGGTGTTTCTCTTGGCCAAAAGTTTTGCCTTGATATGTTGTATTTGTCTTGGAGGACATGATCTGTTGTCTCAGGTGCAAAAACACATGTGCACATGGCTGATTCACCAGTTTTAAATTTTGTGTACATGTGATTGCAAAGTCGATTGTGTCCTGTTCTAAGGCGTAGAATAATAACTTGCTCTGGTCTGTCCATAATATGTTTTTCTATCTTTCTAATCCTTGCTATGAGTGCCGATCAATACATTTTCTGTTACTTTATTAATATGTCCATAATATGGTAATCATCTTGTGCCGGTTTTGGTGGCTTTCTGACTGATCTGATTATTCTCTTCTCCTGTTGGTAAGATACTGGTACCACATTTGCATCTGCCTCAGCTAGTTTATCAGCTCTTTCATTTCCTGGAACTCCACAGTGGGATGGTATCCGCTGCACAAGTACCTTACACCAGTTGCCTAGTTTAGAGAGTAGCTAATGAGTGAGTGGTTATCAGTCGAGGTTCCAACTTCACAGCACGGAGGTCACCCAATGACTGCTCTGCTCCTGCGCCAGTGAAAAGACAGACAGAATTCTCAGTGAAATCCTACCTTTCACACAGGCATTTAATACATAAGGCAGCTGCCAGAGGTAGCAACGCCAACAGTGTGTCACTAGAGCTACAGTTCATAAGCAGTCATGACAAACCAGCAGTGCACATGCATAACTGCATGAGGATAACCATTAGTAACATGCCATTCACCATTTTCTGAACATGCAGTTCACAGCAGAAATATCTGGAAGTGCAGACAAAAAATGTATTCCACATAAAATCCACAGAACATGGTGTCACATTCAACTCAGAAACTGGCGGACAGAACCAAACCTTGTAAAGTGTCCTATCAAGTCTCCTGGTAGGTGTTAAAACTCTCAATCCTCTCTGGATTACCCTGCAGACAGGGTTGGTAAGCACTATCTTTATTGCACACCTCTAGACAGGTAAGCACTATCTTCATTGCACACCTCTAGACAGGTAAGTGCTATCTTCATTGCACACCTCTAGACAGGTAAGCACTATCTTCATTGCACACCTCTAGACAGGTAAGCGCTATCTTCATTGCACACCTCTAGACAGGTGAGTGCTATCTTCATTGCACACCTCTAGACAGGTGAGTGCTATCTTCATTGCACACCTCTAGACAGGTGAGTGCTATCTTCATTGCACACCTCTAGACAGGTGAGTGCTATCTTCATTGCACACCTCTAGACAGGTGAGTGCTATCTTCATTGCACACCTCTAGACAGGTGAGCGCTATCTTCATTGCACACCTCTAGACAGTGTGAGTGCTATCTTCATTGCACACCTCTAGACAGGTGAGTGCTATCTTCATTGCACACCTCTAGACAGGTGAGTGCTATCTTCATTGCACACCTCTAGACAGGTGAGTGCTATCTTCATTGCACACCTCTAGACAGGTGAGTGCTATCTTCATTGCACACCTCTAGACAGGTGAGTGCTATCTTTATTGCACACCTCTAGACAGGTGAGTGCTATCTTCATTGCACACCTCTAGACAGGTGAGTGCTATCTTCATTGCACACCTCTAGACAGGTGAGTGCTATCTTCATATGCTACCTACAAACAAGGCTGGTGGTGGCTGGGGGGGGGGGTTAACGAAACAATTAATAATACACACACAATCACCTGGCACTGGCATAGTAGGGACAACCCTCCTGCTCATATTTGGCGAGTATTGGAGCTTTCAGCTTGTTCTCCATCTCCTCTGTCCACTGAAATTAACATTTTACAATAAATTTTGACAATATAATATTCCAACCATGAAAACATATAGATAATATGGCAGGTTTTAAGACAGATATGAGAAGTATTAGTCTGCCAAATTGTTTGATTAACAAAAATAATACTGGCGTAACCATTTCTCTTACTCAACATCCATTTTGTGATGGGCTGAAACGGTGTATACAAACATGATGTCGACTTCTCAGGCAAGACACAGGTTCGACAGCTTGGCGCCTATTTGAGTTGTGTAAGATCGGCTAAGGTAATATGGTCAGGAGCTCTGCTTTGGATGAGCGAAGGATCCCATTGAGGCGTGTTGTTCTTCCATTTGCGAGGTGCGAGATACTGCCTGGGAAATACGAACGATAATCGAACGAAGGTTCTATGGATAAGTGCGCAAGATGCTCTGGAGTATGATTGTGAGGGCTCTCCTGACAACAACACAAGTCAACTTGTATGCTAAGGTCAGTGTGATTCGAACAATTAAACATTTCTTAATCCAAGTATAGGGTGACAACAGTCTGGAACTCCAACTACAACTGTGTAACAGCAACAACAACACTCCATTTCAACAGTGTTAATACTCTCGACTGAACAACACCAGGAAGTTTAAGTACCCAAAGGTGTATTGTGATTTCAGGATTAACATGTCAAACAATCATTAAATAATACATAGGAACTCACCGACTTGATCAAATAGTAAATCACTTCTAAGGTCCTGACACAAACTCGCCATGAAGATTTGATTGAACATCTAATCATTGATACTTTACTTCACAGTGTCTCTACAGATCAACGTCTCGACATTGAAACGTTAACGGTTACTTCAACAGATCCATATGCAGTCCAATACTCATGAACACGACCATGTCATTCCTTCTTGGTTAGCCAGCGTTATCGCTGAGTTTTAAACAACAGAAGGAAGTAATCCTGCTTCCAGCAGAGATGGCAGTAATGCCACAGCACTAGGCTGCATTTCTCAGTGGAGTCCGGAATCCTAGGTAAATCTTCCTCTAGGATCCACCAAAGCCCGACCATACGTCCGCCTTCTGAAACTTCCCAATTGTGAATCTCTAGATTTAAAATCTCTTAACAACAATACGTAATGCTTACAACGTCCTATTTGCTCAGTCAATATCAGTGTGTTTCAGTGCATATCAGCACACGACAGCTTTCCATAAAATCAGAAGACTATCATGCACCTTTTTCTTCTTCTGTGTTCTGCTCTTCTCATTCAGCCACTTCTGCAACATGCTTGGCTCTAAACATATTGGTGTTACCTTTACTGTGAAGTAAACAAAGCCAGGTGACAGAGGGATCATTCTCTAGTGGCAACGCATGGTCACAACAGCATTTCCCAGACTGTGTGGTATGCAGAAGAAGAACTCCGCCCTCGCCTTAACCGGCATTGCTATAGGTTACGATTCCCCTGGCTCCGTACAGCACACTGGAACACTATCATCAGCAGAGGCAGAATGGTGTTGTCCAACTCAATTACAAATTATACACTACCAGTTATAAGAAGAACAAGATGAGGTGAGAAGAGAGATAAACAGTATGTTTTATTAAAACAGCTCCTTTCAATGTATAACTATAATAATTGTATTCTCCTCATTACCAAAACTATTTACTGCTCTCCATCTTTTTTTCCTATTCTGTTCTACTTTAATTACTTTTCCTACTGTCATGATATACTCCAGTTTTCTCCTTCTCATCACATGACCAAAGAATGGAGATTGTCTCTTTCTGATGTGGGCAATCAGTTCTCTTTGTGAGTCATTCTTTTAAGACATCTTCATTACTCTTTTCATCTGTCCAGGGTATTCACATCATGTGTCTATAAAACCACACCTCCGCAGCTTCGACATTATTTTTCACTAATTTACTAACTGTCCATGATTCACATCCATATAACAGCATTAACAGACTATAATAATTTAATATTCTGAAAACATTTACCGGTTTTCCTTCCCTCTGCCTTTGTTCTCGGCTTATCTGAGCCATAACGTTTGCTGCTTGTTCCCCGCCCA